GCTTCTCGGAATGTAAGAATATTCCGACTTAGACTGGGGCCTACCATGTTCGCGGATGAGCTTTCACGTACGGACAATGCAACCGGCGGAATGTTTTACGTAACCCGGTATGTTGGTACATACAATCGTCGAAATTGTTAGAAGGGTGTAAATCGTACTAATTGCCATGAATAGACATACACACGTATTGGAGGTATACTCGTCGTAAGGTTCATTACTGGATCAATCAGTTCCAGAAGTTCGACCCAGCTGCTGTGGTCTTTGGGTCTAAGGCCAAGTGTCCTGGGTATTTTGAAATTTCTCATGGTTCGTGTTAATTTTGTTCTTATTAATGACACATATTGCAAAATTATAATCTATTATTAAAATAATAAATAATTTTATCCAGTGTTTATGAATTACTTCATAAAAATGTCAGTTTTGAATGAAAATCCGCAGCCGAACGATAACACGCGCCCTAGCATTTCAGGTTTCAACGTTCCAAGCTCTGAACCACGTTCCGTGGAAACCTTTCATCGAGCGCGTGTGTTACGTTTCCCCGAAAGAGACGAACGAACATCGTGAGGGGAGGAGCGCGCGCGCGCGCAAGAACGTTTCCGTTTCGAGGCTCTCGCGATCTCGTTGCATTTGCGCGGCGTCAAAGCTGAAGGCTAGACTGGGACAAAAGGAACGTAAAAAAAAAAAAAAAAATACAAAGAAAGAAAATGTTCCAACGCCTCTGCCCCGTAGTTCTGTGTGCGGGAGAGAAAAGGACAAGGTCGCGCGGAGAATTGTAATACCGTCGCGGCGGCCGTAGTGGTGTGCCGTTACGCCTCGATCGTGTGCCGCCGCACGGAATATAAATCGCGTGGCTCGTTAAGGCGCGGGCGGAACGACGTGCGTAAGGTCAAGGCGGAAACGTACGACATTCTTCGTCATCTCTGGTATACCCTTGGTAATGGATGACTTTTCTTTCCGACACGTTCGAGGCGTGTTGGAACGATTTCCGTTAACGATTAATTGATCGACCATTTCGGTATCGATAAACCTTGGAGTGTGGACTGTCAGAATAGGTGGCTGGGTCAGTCGTGAACCATGTCAAGATATCTGTACAACGATATAATTTGATCGTTATGTTTTTATCGACGTGTCACCGGTGTCCACAGCAGGTATGAACGCGAACATGTGTGTGTGTGTGTGTGTGTGTGCGTGCGTTTCGTTGCGCGCATGGAAACTGTTCCAGCCGTGACGCTTTGCTTACGGCAACGACGCGCGCGGAGTCAACGAACCGACGACTGCACTTTATAGGTGTTTACAGGTGCACGGGCCCAGAGGGTGGGGTGAGGGGAGGTGAACGAGGCGCGACGCGGGATACTCGAAAAATATTCTGTGGAAAAATGTGGCCGAAATCGTTTGACACGAAGTCAAATGGTAGACCCTTTTAAGCCAACTTCGTAGTGCGTACAACAGATTGGGGTTAGCTTCTCTGCGGTAGGAAAATCGTCTGGGTCTCTTTTGATACAATATCGATTGCAATTTTGCTTTTGAGCGTGCGCGCGTGTGTGTGTGTGTGTGTGTCTGATTATTATTGTTTATTTCTAACTGTGATTATTTACGTGCATCGAGAGCAGTAGTCCGATATTGGTTCATCTTCAGTAGTCTAACACGAATTGATAGGAAGAAAGGCCATGTCGCGAGAATTGGTGGGGAAACAGGAAGTACGTTCACTAATCGTCGTCTCTATTCCCTGTGTAAGTAGAAATAATATGTGCGGATCAGACACGTTAGAGCCAACCGCGCTGGAAAGCTTGTGCTCGACCGAACGCTCGAATTTGATTATGCTTTTGAAATAGTGAAGGGTGATACAGTATCGATATTTCGAGTATCAATACTTCTCAATTTAAATATCGATATTTAATGCGATGATATATTCCAGTATCGATACTCAATCCATATGGTCGTAAGGAAAATGCAACAATCTCGACCTTCCCATGAAGTTTGCGATTCATCGATTTCTTTTCCACATTGCTATCTGAGAATCTGGCTTAGTAGATATCTGCTTAAACAGATGATTCATTTTTTATTTAGTATACATATATACTTTGGACAGTGGTTACTTCCGACCGGAAGTTCATAAGACACTGTGCCACTCGTACCTGAGTGTAACTCTTCGTCGGTCGCTGTATGGAAAGCATATCGATCGCGTTCGCTACCGAGCGGTTGCTCCCCGATGCGGTGTGTGTTGTGTTATCTCTTTGCCTTGTTTGTGTTGTTTTCGCCCGTACACGTTTTTTGATCCTTCTCGACACGATACTTCCCCCAACTGATACACCATTCAAACAAGTAACGAAACAAGTAAACTGAAGTACGGTACACGGTGTGCAATTAATTTACAAGGTTCCTACTTATCTCAAAAAAATGTTACATTACTTATTGACGGCTTAGTTGTACGTAAGTCTTCATTACTGTTTCCTTCTTTCAATTCGTTTCGGTCGAAAATACATTGCAACTAACCCAACTGATCCTTGCAATGCAACCCATTATACAAGGTGGGGGAGATACACATACACGTGACACAACCAGACGGGAAGCTTTCAAAAGCCCCAACAGTGACAACTGTACGATGTCGGTCCGTGAAAGCCTCAAATCTTTGATCAGACGGTAGTTGATTCCCCGTGGAACTACAGGGATTGAGAAAAATTACTATGAAGGGTTTGTTCCATTACCAGGTGCCGTTAATATCTACTTCGTAACAGTGTATTTTCTGTGATTCCTCGCAACTTTCATTGCAATATCCAGAGTATCTCATTTAAGTGTAACCCCTCGAACATCTTTTTTTATTTGTGAAAACGCGAAAAATATTTAATGCGTAATTTGAATGGTATTAAGTTCTCCTGAAATAGAAACACCGTTCATCTTTGATAGTTTTCTAGTGTTCGGCTCTATTCTCATGAACCTTCTTGTCGTGAATTGCGTGACTCTTTACAGATTGCGTATCGTGTTCACGGAAAGCGCGTAATATAAACGTCCCGCGATCTGGTCAATAATTAATAAGGTGCCTCTCTGTTCATTGCTTTATATTTCCATGTAATGTATCACGAGCAGCACGCACATTCGAGCTTGTGCCACTTTACTTTCCGACGACTCGCGCACGCCCCATACGAGAGCGGCGAAAGCGAGGAGAGAAGAGCAGGCGATCGGCAGCGACGACGGCGGCCCGTCCGTAATTCGCACAGCAGTGTGTTGGATCAATGCTCGCCACTAGGTTAAAGCTGTATAGGCGGTCGCGAAACAATCGTGGCGGCAGGCCTTCGTACTGGACAGACGTCCCTTTATTCGGGTTGAAATAAAACCGGAATCGAAACTAGATCACACGCTATTCCGACTCTATTAAAAAAATTGTGAAGGGAAGGGGGTTTGAGGGACCACAGGGTGGAGGAGGGATCGAGCGTGACATTCGCGCATCCGCAGTATATACTACATAAAGAGTAGCGATGCCCGATACATTTAAAAGTATAGATATGTATCGATGTCTTTAGTATCGATACATACATCGGACAGAAAGTATCGATATAACATGAATAAAAAAGAAACAAATCATTAAGGAAATCATCCCCTTTTTTAATTATATAAAATCGAGTAGAACACCCGTTGACGCGTTATATTTTTATGTACGCTGAGTATCAATACACGTGTATATGTGGAATAAAATATCGATATTATCGGTATGTCGATATTTGGAATTACATCAGAAATAATAAAATCGAAAAATGAAAATAAATTATTTATTTGACCTGATGTTTGCTGAGGCAGATTCTCGGTAACAGAGTGGAAAAAAAATTGACCAATCGCAAACTTTATGGGAAGCTCGTGATAGGTCCATTTTCCTTATGATTTGTTACAGCAGATACAGCGATTGTATCGAAATTTCGATGTTTATGGGTTAAATATCGATAATGGAATATATCGTCTCACGTTAAATAACGATACAAAATATCGATAATTTTATTAAAAAGTTATCGATATTTTGAATATCGATATATCACCCATTACTATTACACAGACTCTGTGCGCACGCGAGAGGGAGATCGGCCGATATTATTTTCGCGCGTCGACGACGGTTATTGGCGCAGATGGATACATATTCTGCAAGGCGTGTTCGCCATGGCATAATACGAGCCATTGGGGAGGAGGAGGAGGAGGAGGAGGAGTAGCTTCGATAAAGCGGAGAATGGGTCGACCGAGAGCCTCGCATCCCCGTGCACCGATAGATCCATTTTCTCTATCCACCGATCCGGCGAATATATCCCTGATAGGAAATTGTGCATAGCGACAATAACGTTGAAATTCCAGATGGCGCCGAATTGTATAATCGTTTCGAGTGGGGCCTCGCTCGATAAAATTCATCGGGTTATAATCGTCCTATATTGCATCCGTGATGGATCCATCGTGCTACGGTTTTTTTGTCGAATAGAAAGAATGGGAAACAGAACGTGTTTTGTCAGTCTCGAGACGGGATACAGGTTGACACGAATCGATGGAATCTCTAGGGTTGTCACACAGTACAAGGAACTCTCGAAATGATCGTTTTCGAAACTAGAGCTAGTAGCCCCCCGATAATATTCCCCTAACCTCTTTGACCTTCTCACGGTAGATCGTTGGAAATGGGACCAGTGTCCATTATCAAGTTAAGGATAATTTACAGTTTTCTATTTAGTATAGTGTGCTTTCCGTTTGTGTTTCATTATTTCTCCATATGGGGTCAGTGCAGTACAAAAGTAACTCCCACTGCATTTACGAATCATCCTCTTTGACAAGGAAACATACCGAAGTTGACAATCACCGTTTTCGATGCAACTCTGTGAGGAAGAAGTATACCTACATAGTTCTCATGAAAATACGTGTCCAATATTTTTAAGAGTACTGTACTTTCACAGAATTCACTCGTATTTATATGCGTGTGTGTGCACGCATTATACATATATGTATGTACTGATGGGGGTCCCTTTATATATTTTCAGATACAGTCAAAGCGTGAGCTGTTCTTTAAAGGCGACAACGCTGGAATAATATCGTCGCCGTCTGTGCCATCCGTACCGCCGCCCCAGCCACCGTCACAGGCCCCGTCGTTGGTGAGCAACACGTCGTCGACGACGAGCACGACAACGACGACCCTCGCCTCGCCGAACACAGCGCCGCCGGCCTCGACTGTCTACACCAGCGTCACGTCCGCGGCGGCGGTCGCATCGAAACCGCGGTTACCTCCGTCCACGGTGATCCTGAACCAAAACGATGCATCTGAGGACAGTAACAAACGGGAGTCTAACAACAGGACAAACGACAGCAACAAGGAGGCCGCTGTGCTTCATCACCCCCGACCGACGCCACCCACCAAGCCCAAAGAACTCGACGGCTATGTCGGATTCGCGAACTTGCCGAACCAAGTTTACAGGAAGGCGGTCAAGAAGGGTTTCGACTTTACTCTGATGGTAGTCGGTTAGTGTCCTGTGTCGACGTATCTTTATACGAGTCACACAGTACCATTCCCCGATGTGGGAAATCCGCGACCCATTTCTAACATCTTTGTTTTCTGGCCACTGACGGTTTTCGTTATACGAGCACAATATACGGTCCGTATCCTTTTCGTCGGGAAAATTTATATTTGCACTCTTGTCAATATCTACCTATTCATATTTTTATTTTATTGACAGGGAAGAGTTATAATTCATCTTGTTTACTTTTTTTTTATTGGCACTGATTAATCGAAGTTCTACATTATGACTGACGAGCGGAATTTGAAAAGAATGCGAGTATCAGCAATACCAGGGATTTTATACAGAAGTAAAATGATCGTTTTTTTTGGGGTGGGTAGGTCGACGAATGTACACTATTTACCCGGGGATTCAATTCGTTTTCACTAATGGGACGCGACAAATGCATAGTATGACCTCATACGGACTCCCTTCTTCATTAACGCCGTCCATTGTGTAAACGAACGTACAATGGTCGTTTGTTTTCTTTTTTTCTCTTCTTCCATCATCTGTGCTTCCCGAGATTGAGAGACAAAGAGGTCCGTTTCTCTCTCTGGTTTGGTATTTCAGTTTCGTCGAGGATATATCGCCTTATGAACTTCCATCTGCTTAACACATGCAGTTTCACCCGGCTGGAATTTTAGGGCTGTCCTCAAGTACCAGTGGTTCTCACTTACATTCCCTTCGTTCTTATAATCGAAATACACCGTGATTCGGCGTATGCAGTAGTGATGGGCTCGATATTTCAAATGTCGATACTTTGCAATTCAAATATCGATATTTAATCTGACGATATATTCCAGTACCGATACTTAACCCATAAATATCGAACAAGTCGTAAGGACAATGGATCAATCGTGAGCTTTCTATAAAGTTTACAATTAGTCGATTTCTTTTCTACTCTGTTGCCTGAAAGTCTGCCTTGGTAAATATTAATGCAATTGGCTAATTTAATTGCAAGTATGTCTTCCGATATCGCCACCACTAGTCTGCGAGTCTTTTCAAGTGTGTTTAAAAAGGCCACTGGGGAACAAGCGGAGATCGAATCTTGTCAGTTCCTTGCAAATATTTATTTCTTAGACACCGTTATATTTCGTAATAACGACCGGCAGTGGCGCGAAAGTTATCGCGACAAAGTCCGTCCGAGATGAAAGTTTGAAATGTGAGAATATAGACGGGTCCCGCGTTCTATTATTAGCACCGGTATAAACAGCACACCATTTCTCCGTAAATAGAGCAATTGAAGTGACTTATCCTTTCGGACGGGAGAAGAGAGAGAGAGAGAGAGAGAGAGAGAGAGAGAGAGAGAGAGAGAGAGAGAGAGAGAGAGAAGGCGCGCCACTTTGGCCAGTTCAAGGTACGCGCCGACTGAAAGGTCAGGGTACCGTTTGGTATTTAGAAGCGACCCGAAAACTAAAAGGGAGCGATAAAACCACATGTCCGACCGATATCTTAATTTCTCTGTTTTTCCGTGTGTGTTCTTTAGGGGAGTCAGGACTAGGCAAATCCACTTTGATCAATTCAATGTTCCTCGCCGATATATACAGTGCAGAATACCTTGGACCCAGCCTCAGGGTTAAGAAAACTGTGGCCGTAGAGACTAGCAAAGTGTTGCTGAAGGAGAACGGTGTGAACCTTACTTTAACTGTTGTTGATACACCCGGTTTTGGTGATGCAGTGGACAACAGCAATTGGTAATTTGACTCAAGATACTGTTTATTATCGATAGTGATAGAGAAATTTCAGACTCCATAAGAGATACATTCACATTTCAGTTGGGTGCCAGTGATCGAGTATATTGAATCAAAATACGAGGAGTTCCTGAACGCTGAATCTCGGGTAGTCAGAAGACAGATACCGGACAGTCGGGTGCATTGCTGTCTCTATTTTGTTGCACCCTCGGGCCACGGTTTGAAACCGTTGGACGTCGAGTTCATGCAGCGTCTACACGACAAAGTCAACATCATACCTGTTATCGCAAAAGCCGACACCATGACACCTGATGAATGTGCACACTTCAAGAAACAAGTATGTATCGGATACGGTGTTGCGATGATCGAAAAAAGATTCGAAATTTTCGTCCGCGACCCATTACTGTTTGCTAAGATTGAAATGTATTAAGAGCTGGATAAACTCGAGAATTTTCGTTTTCCGTTCTTTTAGATTCTAAACGAGATAGCGCAACATAAGATAAAAATCTACGAGTTCCCCGAAGTGGAAGAAGAAGAGGAAAGTAAACTGCATAAAGTTCTACGAGATAGAGTTCCGTTTGCGGTTGTGGGTGCAAATACCGTTGTCGAACACGATGGTAGAAAAGTTCGTGGAAGAAAGTATCCATGGGGAGTTGCGGAAGGTGGGGCAATTCAGCAAATTTCAAACCACTTTGAGTATGGTATTTTTTTTTCTTTCAAACTTCGAATCAATTCACGTTCCTTTTCGTTCGACAGTTGAAAATCTTGAACATTGCGATTTCATCGCTCTTCGAAATATGGTGATTCGAACGCATTTACAAGATTTGAAGGATGTAACAAACAACGTACACTACGAGAACTTCCGGTGTCGCACGTTGGCAGGCGTTGGCGTGGATGGAAAACCGACGAAAGTCTCTAATAAGTAAGTGTACATATTTTTGCATCTATTTCAAAATTTATTCGTTAGGAAAGAAAGAAAACAACGCATATGCATTTATCGCAAGTACGTAAATTCAATATGCGCGTTTAGGTAATCAACCAGTACGAAACAAGATACATTATAATAAGTACAATATAATATTGAAGGATCCAGTAATAAGTTGATTATGTCAATTTACGTTTATTTTTTTTTTTTTAAGCGCAAACGATTATAAATGCTTGTAGCGTTTTGGTTTTGTTTTTACTACGAACATTTATGAAAGCTTGTGCATGCAAACTATTAAGGGATAAAGATTACCTTTGTAAGTTAAAAATTTGACAATGTTAGCAATCTTGTTAAGAAGACGTGTTATAGAATAAGCTAAAGAAGAAAGTGCTCCTGAAAATACATTTCCTAATGATACATCCTCTACTTGATTTTTAATGATGATTTCTTATTGGTTAGTTTGTGCCCCCCAGGAGTGATGAACAGTTTCATGACAGTGTGGTAAGTCTTTTAATAAGGCCAGGATATCGTGTAATATAGTTTTGTGTGCACAAGCCTTGTCCAGTTTCCATTTACTGCGTATTAGTACTAGGTGTGTTTAGTTAAGGGGGGTTCACTCCACAAAAAGAAGAATATCTTATATTTATAATCTGTGGAGTGACGGATACACATATTAACCCAGAATAGATAACTGGATTACATTGGTAGTGAGCCCTCTAACGAAACATTTAGTTGCCGTAAGTAGATTGCATTATAAAATATTTTTCGTACCGTTCGTATTTTCATTTCACCAGAATAACATGTTACTAGCTACATTCAGCATTATCAGGTATACCATATGAATCTGCTTGCTTCTAGTACACATTTCGGTTTAGTATCTGTCAATGAATATTCTCGTCCGATGTCTCCCCGAATAATACAGTTTTCATTCTTTGTGACCCCCTTTCGTGTAGATAGATAAAAAAAATGGAAATAACAAATCAAACGATTGGTAAATGACAGAACAGACTTCTAAGCAACATCTACTTCTGTATGTTACAGTTACTTCGAACTTGGATTATTATTTTCGTTTGTTTTGTAGGAACCCACTGGCCCAGTTAGAAGAGGAGAAGAGGGATCATGAACATAAGATGAAGAAGATGGAGGTTGACATGGAGCAAGTATTTGAAATGAAAGTTCGAGAGAAAAGACAGAAACTTAGAGATTTAGAGACAGACGTGAGTATCTGTATAGTTTCCCCATAACGAGTATAATGGCGAGAGCTAAATAGTTTGGCCACTCCCGGAATCTAATGATAAAATAACCTGAACCACGAATTATTGAAGAGTCTCGTACTCGCCGAGTCTAAGCTTATCAACTCTCATTGATAAGCAATCATTTGAGTGTAGAAGTTGCATTAACAAAAAGCTTTTCTCAGTTGCAAAGAAGACACGAGCAAACGAGACGCTCCTTGGAGCAGCAGATCCGCGAACTGGAGGAAAAGAGACGAGCATTCGAGTCTGAGAAGTTAAGCTGGGAGCAACAAACCGGACAGAGTGTCGAAGAATTACGTAGACGCAGCCTGGAGGCTAATTCGAAAGAGTAAGTATCGACTGTAACAGGTCTGCTTCTTTTTTTGTTTAATATTCTTATGATTATCGCGTTATCCATTCCTTTCGACGTAAAAAAAGAAACATTTAAAAACAGAAACAAACTGCTTCTTGTACGAATGGAAAGGTATTTTGTAAAAAAAAAAAAAGAAACCGTAGCTTTATAATTATTGTATTTATAAGGAAATGGACAAACTGCTTGAATAAGTTGTATAGTTACAAAGAGTCAGTTATTCGCAAACATTTCATTAGAAGTATTATGGAATTGCTTAAGTCTTTGCTTCAGAAAATCATTCAGCTAAATGTGTACAGTAAAAGCATTTACAGTTCGGCTTGCGATATGATTAATTGTATCCTATGATAATTCAATGCTACTAATCAACTGATACATTCGAGCGACGACTCGGTATTCCGTAGAAACTGTTCCAGAGCATAGCATATACTCTAATAGCAGGAAATCACTAATAATTATATTAATGAGCATGTTTAGCGTAACCGTCTTTTTGAACTTGATTAAAGGCAATTTAGTGGTTATTGTCAATCAATCATGCCTCATTCTGAGGTAACGAGTTGCAGTCGCTCGAGTCTGTACAAAGAAACGGGATAAACCAACGTGTTTTTGCCTCGGTAACAGAAGAAAAGGAATCGTTAAGATTATATTTCATCCAGCATCATTTTTACGTGTCCTAGATTGTATGTCATGTATGTTCGATATATGTACCACGTTTACGTAAAGCAAAACCACAGAAGTGATATAGGACAGATCTAATATCGTGTGTCACATATACTGATCTCTTGCAAAAAATTCAGGATTCATCACGCCATCTATGTTTAAGAGCGGCGTGATTAGGAACTATAACATATATTCAACATTTTTCACATCTCGACATTGTTGTAACAAATATTTTTTTATTTGTGTAGATGTTGTTGCATTTTTTAAACGCTGAACATTACTTAATGTTGATATCTGTGTAATTTTCTTTAGTTTAAGATCAATATTTATACAAGTCTTATATGCATAGTGAGCTCTGAAATATTTTGACGCAGGACAAAGATATAATTGCATTGTTTCTATTACACATCAAACAACGTGACACAAGAATACATTAAATGCAAGATCTGTCCTTCGCTGGTGGCCAAACTATGAAAAACATAGATATCGTAAACATATTTTTTTTGTCCTTCGAAACGCGTATTTCAAAGGTAGCACTGAATGTATCGTACTGTGTATCACATACATAGGTAGTATATACAGGGTTTTCTCGATTAAAACTGGATGTTTGAAACTTGTGCGCGTAATTATAGTATACATAAAATAATTATCTATGCATATTCTAACACTATGTGCAGTTCTATACACAACCGTGCAACAAAAACATTACATGTTAAATTGTTACCCAATTATCATTGATAAAGGATATAAACGCGTATTTAATTCCTGTTTCTTCTGTATCAATCTGTGATATAGCAACGAATTTTTGTATCATAACTTAATATAAACATAACCCAGTTACGAGCTTTAATAACAAAAAAAAACATGGTTAGGGTGAGCAATCGAGTTTCTATCGAGAAAAAGCAGTATGTATTTAAGAAGGCTTTTACGTACGAATGTTATGTCATGCTTGCGCTTGTTTGTTTGTTGTGTGTATACCATATCGGGGTGTCCCTAATTTAGGACGGGATCAGTGTCTTCCGAGGGATCTGGAGGTGGCGGGGGTACATTGAGGGGTTCCCGAGGGATAGGAAGTCTCCTACGTCGTCACACCAGTTTCAAATCACCTCAAGACAGCCCTACACAGATACAGCTTGTCATACAACATCCCGAGCATCCTTAGTAGATCGTAGAGAGTCTGTCTACATTTACTTACAAACAAACAAAAAAGCTCTACGCCGTTGTGTCCGAGGACTAAAGAAACTTTTTCAAATCCAATATAACGTCGATCTCATTTTTATACAATTCAACGCGTGGCTCCAGTTTAGAACGATCGAACGGCGGATCAACATGCGTGCGCGCGTGTAATTGAAAATTAATTGCACTTATTACAAACGTTTGGCGTATACTTGCTGTTCTTTTTCTTGGTTACCTTTGGATTACCAGTATATATTAGTATAGTCACTATGTTACCGTTTGCCGTAAAAGAAAATGAGTGCCAGATATATTGATATCAGTGTATTTAAGACGTACTCTCATGGTTTATGTTTCTTTTATTTTATGACGTGTAAACGTGCACCCCTAATGGGGGTCGTAAGGGAAATTTTTTAGTTCAGTATTGAACTGGTACATGATATTTAGAGTTATCACCTGTTATACAGAGATGCTTTTCTAATCTATAAAGAACTGAATATAGAAACAACAAATTTTGCATAACACTGACTAATGTTTGATAGTTGACGACGACCTTTATGTATGGACGGAGCAAGGTGATGAATAGATTTTGTGTTTTGCGTATGTGGAGCTAAATTTTAGATTAACGAATAAAGAGTAGAGGAAAAAGTCCATATCGAAAGAAAAAAAAATACAGAATTTTGATAGTATACTTACGTTAGCCCTATAGATATATTTAGAAGGGCATATTTTTGGCACAAAGTTTGATAAACTTTATGTACGAAACGCAGAAGACGTTTATATTCCTATGAATGTCACTGTTTTTATATCGATTGCAAACTATGCGTTACACCCATACAATAACTGTCTTGTTTGAACCTTAAATAACACGCGACACATTGTAGAGAGTACGGAAAGCTATTGTAAACTCTGCGCAAGCTGTCTACTTTTTGTTTTCGTTACACGTACATTCCAGCATTCGCATGTGTTGACATTCCCGTATATCACACGTTATATGTATACCAGTTATGCAGAGACACGGTTTCTCGGATTCTGAAATCAAACGTGAGACAGCTTGATAAAGGGTATGCCATACACACACACATACAAACACGTGACCAATAATCGAATACTCACAAAACGAATATTATACATTGTTAAGTTCATCAATCTTTTTTCGCAAATAAACGTAATGCTTTCCTAAAACATTTACTAACCATTTTCGTCTTCATTTTTAGCCTTTCTGCAATTGTGGCGTGTGAACTTTCTTGGACAGAGGTCAGAGAAACGTTGTGTTCCATCTTGCTTTAACATTTTCCATCGAAACGCAACAACATTTCAACACACAGACACAATGTTTCTTTGAATTTTGTATGTTTCCCAAGAGTTGTGATCAGTGTACGAATACAGAATACCTTGTTCGTTATGTGAAAATATGTCAGTTTGGAAGGTACCATTAGCTTCGCTTTATTAATTCATTTATGCCATTTATATATTATATAAGCCATCTGTTTACAGATAGGCTTAATTGCAGCTCTATCTTGAACGAACGACAAAGTTATTCAAAAGAAAAATTACACGTTTAAAATGTACAAACAGCACATTAACATTGGAATAATAAACGAATGGAACTAGAGACATTGCGCAAAAACAGCATGGGCTTATAATGGTCGTCGCCCATGGAAGCATTACATTTCTCGAAGCATGATTTTGGCACGACTAAATTTTTTATATTGTTATATCCTTTTCACGATTAAGAGTGCACATTACTCATATACTTTTCACTCCATACTTATCGATACCCCTTTGGTAACAGATAAGATTTGTAACGTCATGCATAAGTATATGCAGCCTGAAATTATTTTTCCAAGTTTAACCTATAACAATTCCAAGTGTAGTCCAATGTCAAATTCACATTCAATCTCGACACATTTGCAATCGAAACAGCCAGATTGCAGTGCGCAAGAAAATCCATCAGGTATTCTTTGTTTGAAAAATAAGGTGTGTAACTTATAGAGCAGTAAAAATACTGTAACTTGTGTAATTTGTTAACACTGTAAGTGGACGCTGCCATGTAATCGTTCCTAGGCGTGAAGTATTCGTTTTTACAGACAGTTTCATTTTTTCCAGGGCCGTTGACGGTAAGGATAAGAAGAACAAGAAGAAAGGGCTCTTTTAATTTCGACCGCGGAAAGGCGAAACGTGAGGAGCCGGAGCTTTCCTCGGAGTGTGAATCAACAGCAATTCTTTTTACAGACGGTCATATGAATGGCATGTGATCTCTTTAGAAGATAAGTCGATTGATTTGTTAATTGTTTCTTCTGAAACCATGTGCAGTGTCTGTACATCTGAATCCTCTTCCACTGTGTAGCAGAGAGGAGTACAAAGAACAGTCTCAGTGTTAAAGGTACTAGCTCGCGATCAGAAGACTCATTAACAAATCTGAAATGCAAAGGATGAATATGTGTGTTGCATAAGAAAACACAGTCAATGCGTATACTATGTATATCGCCTCCACATTTGTACCACTTTTCCTCGTTCCCCGAGCATATAACGTTTTATGCTTTCAGGAGTGAGATGATGTGAAAAAAAAGGGTGTGTTTCTTCTGTCGTGTTCGCCTGTGCTTCTTCGCGCTTCCTAACTAACTTACTATTCAGGAAATTACACTAGGCATAATTCGAACTATGATATTGTACAAAATGTAGACATAAAATATATCTCAGAGGATGTACGTTTCTTTAACAGGCGTGATCAAGGATAACCATAATTTGTACCGAGGAAAGAGAACTCTCGATTATTTTCAAAAGTGTTCTCTCGCAGGAAATTCTACACACTTTACTTTTCACACACACACACACGCGCGCGCGCGCGCACACGAACCCTTTGATATTTGTATTTTTGTTATATAAATTGCCACTAATGTATCTATATATAGTGGATAAAAAATGTATTTACATACTCGGATCTCTTATATAATAAAAAGACATCGACCGGAAGAATATATATAATGAGCAAAAGATACACATTGTTAGAATTGAAGATAGAACGAAGTGATAAACATTTTTGTGACATAATCGAAGAATCCATGAAATTATCTTAAAGACATGGGCGTGTATACGTGAACGAATACTATTTTTAACCACTGTACATAATATAAATATCAATGATAGTAAAATTAAGACACGATGATATTAATCGCTCTTAATATTCGCGCGCGCGCGCGCGCGTGTGTGTGTGTGTGTGTGTGTGTGTGTGTGTATCTACGTAGGACAAGAACACCTCACCGAGAAATCTGTTTCTATAAGAGCCGAATACAGAACGTGCGCGATACATCGTCGACCTAAATGTAGCCATGAAAAGTCTCTCTGTGTCTAGGTATAGGATAACAAATTACATTTGATGTTTAAATATCGTTCCCTATCAGTTTAAAGTAATAGGGACGATTAAACGTAACTCTCTTGTCCTAAGGAACAAATTGTACAAAGAATTCTTTCGCCACTGACCGACCGTGAATCTTCCATACTCGGTACATCTTGTGACGCTTATAAAATGAGGATTCATCAAACTCGAACAACATCAAGGAACTTTCGAATACGAGGAGACAAAATGTTGCTCGATCGATTCAGTTATCTTCTAATTTTCATTTATCGTTCATTGAATCAAGGGCACTTTAAGGATAAGTCCGATTCGTGTAAATTTAAGTTGTATTAATAACAACTCACAAGCAAATCATTCACAATTAAAATGAACTTGTATAAATAAATCGTAAGTGTGATTCGAATCGGGATTCGAGATCGTGCACCGCCATATTGTTTCGTTTTATGGTTACGTGAAATAATTTAATTCTCGTATAATAATATCATAGGTTAAACATTTAAGTAACGATTAAATGATATATAATTTTTAGGAAACGTATTGTCTCGAATCCCTTCAAGTATACGTCGGTATTCACAACAAGACTAGGTAAAGCAATGATATGCAACGGATAAGCAAGGTATTATTTTCAGACACGCTGGATTTCTTGGTAGTAAAAATATCGAACCGAACAAAAAAAATGTATTTGCACAAAGAACGCATTATTTGAAAGCGTGTCACAATTGAACACAGAGTACCAATAGAAATTCTGAAGTTTTTTTTTTCGAAAAATCTAAAGTTATTTTGTAAATGGAAGTGTGTATATTGATACCTTTCTTACCCGTTGTGTATAGTTTTCTTCGGTATTTTTATAGCACACATTTTACTGAATTTCATTTCTTTCGTTTCTTATAATTCTCGTCAGACTGTCTGGCGATAAGATCAGTTCGCCCATTTTCGTACTCTATATAAGGCTAATTAAATTACTCGTGTGCCAAGACGAAACGTAGAAGCATTTTCTAACGCTAATACTCGTGATTCTTCGGTTACTGTAACATGTAAGATCAACACGCGGTTTTCTGACAACGCGAACGTAACAAAACACCTCGTCTGAAAATTCGTCGGGAAGAACCACGTGTTACATTCCTATTTTGTACGCGTTCTTTTTAGTTGACTCGTTGGCTGTGTCGATGTTCGCCGTCGCCGGAAAAATCCGCAAGACCGTTTCTTTTTTTTTAAGGACAGACAAACTTTTAGACGGTGATCGAACGAACAAATCGCATTTATCTCTGCACCGATAATGTCAACACATTCGCTACGCATTCCTCGCCAAGGTACATTTACACGTTCAAGTAATTCGTGCCAATTGACTTGTGCATTTACAGTCGTGCATTCATATTTGTGCAAGCAAATCGCAAATAATTACCATTACTTTTCTTATTATTTAATCTGTAATAACTAATTATAATTACAGTTTATTCTTTACATGTATGTAAAATAACTGTGCAAAATAGACTGAACGTGTAATGCACAAGTCAGGGTGTGCAAATTATTCGAACGTGTAAACGGTCCTCAAATAGAATACAACGACTCAGTTCATTTGCGTAAATTCGCATGCACAAGTCAATTTGCGCACATCACATAAATGAGCCTTTAGAGCGTACAATGAGTAACGGCAGTGTACGAACGACAGGATACCGTATTTACATTGCTATGATAAATTGTTCATAACT